GCCATGCCTGCCCTACACGCAGCCCCCGGCCATGCCTTCCTTATGAGTTAACAGAGAAAACGTATTTCACCGGATGCTTTCAGCTTTGAACAAACCAGTTATTAAGGCTTCCAAAGCACACTGACCCATCATGAGACAAGCGCAGTGTAACCCGGCTTCAACACACACATACAATCATGATTATTCTGGACAGAAAACGTGCCGGCCAGCCACCACAAACAATACGGACGCATCCAGTTACATTCACAAATAGCAATACGAATGTTCCCCAGTCTGTCACCGGACAAGTTTCTAGTCAGAATCGAGAGCTTCCAAATATATACCGGTACACAAGGCATCAGGAAGATAGCCCATCCCCCTTTTATTTCAGGCTCAGCCACAAATCTGGGTATTCTCAGCGCTGGGATTGTTCGTTTTTCAAGTTCACGGAAGTTTTCTGCGAACTTCTGGGACCCCCCAGAGACACCAGCAAAGACTGAAGATGAAGCGACTCATGCGGTGCCAGCATCCCGGAGCGCATGTAGCCGTAAGCATTCTGTAAGCGTCTCTGATCTTACACGGTAATTAGGGCAGATCTAAATAAAGTTTTTAAAAGAAAAAAAATAAATTAACCTGACCGTGTGCAGCTTATAGAAGTCACATTACACGCAAAGGACATTCTAAGAAGCATTGGGCTTTGAAGGCTGAGGGAAGACGGAGCTGTTACATGGCAGATGTCTGGCAATCCAGACTGGCAAGGCCTTACATCGCCAACTGGTGGAGGAAAGCCCGCTGCAGCTCATTACACAGAAAAACAGCAAATACGGACCTCACTGCAGGTGTCTGTAAACGCCAAAAGACTGACAAAACCTAAACATTTATTTACACCCAAAAATTAAATATATTGCAGATTGCGCGTCCTTAGATCAGGCGGCTGCATTTGTTTTCTTTACTCCCTTTATTTTCACCTGCTGATCCTGCCAGTAACACACTTCCTGTCCTAGGGTGACCACGCTCACTCGCCATACTGTATGCGGAATTTATCTGGAACTGGAGCAGATGTGCATGGCAACCTGAAGAGAAGCTGGTTGGTTGCCATGGGCAACTACCCCGGATTCTGTCTGCTCCAGTTTTGATAAATCTCCCCATGTATCTTAAGGAGGAGTATTATTTTTACATTAGACTGCTCTCCTGATTTGGACTACAAACACTTTCCCCTCTCATCACTATTACACAGGAAGGAAGAGTCTTGTAGTTCACAGACTATAGCTGGGATGGCTGATAAAATTGTTTGAGATTTCAGTTCTGTGCACAGGAAGTTACAAATACATTGGATTGCCAACCGGCATTGTACTCGTGGGTGTCACCTTGAGCAGTTGCCGGGTGACACCCCCCTTGGTAGGTCATCACACATGCGTGTAACAGCATTGCACACGTGCGTTTGATGACATGCATGCTTACCTGCCAGGTGATGGACACTGGCAAAGAAATAAGGGGACGCTGACCCGGTGGAACAAAGTATGCGTCCACGTCCCCATCTCTCTCGTGCAAGTGTCAGTCTCTCGGACCATGACTAAGTGCCCGATTTTTCAGAGGGGGTGACATGGTCAGTCATTTTGGGGTCACCGCCTCTGATGGTGAACACTATGGACCCAGGCACTCCAAAGGTAGAAGTACGTCTATTTATTGACCATGCTCATTGCATGTCTTGCACGTGCGTCAATAAATAGACGTACTTCTACCTTTGGAGTGCCGGTGTCCATACTTTTCTGTATTACTGGACGGTAGCCATCCGTCGACTACCAATGCACCCCACCATTCTTACTATGGATAAGCGGTCAGGAGTGCAATGGGTATATGGATTGTACCCCCACTGATGGCGTCACACCCCCTGCACCCCGTTGTGACGCCACTGATTGTACTCAGCCTAAACAAAAACGAAAGCAGCCCCCACATCGAAGGACTGGTGAGCTGTATTAGATTACATTTCTGTTCTTGAGCTTACATATACTATAAATTCTATTTAAAGGGAAAAGGGGGGGGGGGGGACCCTTGGGGGGGGGGGGCC